TGTATCAACCGGCAATCGCCGCTAACCCCTACTAGAAGTCCCCAGGGAGCCGTTACCCCCTACTAGAAGTCCCCAGGGAGCCGCTACCCCCTACTAGAAGTCCCCAGGGAGGCTACTTCGCGTAAAAGTTGTCACCTACGGATTTATTCTTTTTTGGTAAAAAAAAAAGGCTAATTTTTTAAAGCCCAACCAATGCACTTACCTGTCAAATATGTACAGGGCAGCCTTTCAGGCATTTTTTAATGATTTTATCATTGGACGTTGGCCACTTCTTTTTTTCCCTTTTTCAGGGCATCATTTCCTCCCCCCCTTCATTTTCCACACCACCCCTTCGCTACTGGAACTACGCCCCAGCACTCGATCTCTATTCCTGAAAAAAAAATTCACATTTTTTCATCAATTAACCTGAGGGAGCATGAAAACTTCCAAAGTTGGTGAGGGGAACATCATGCAAAAGCCCGGTGTGATCCCCTCCTGCAGCCAGCCTCAGCCAGCCATGGCTGCCCTACGGTGCAATTTTTACTGACGTCAAGGGCAGAGGGTAATCCCACAACTACCGTCTTCACCCGCATAGAACGCCCGGTTATTATGGCTGTATCTGGACTGAAAAGTGCACCAAATACGGCTATAATGACCGGGCGTTCTATTCCGGCAAAGACGGTAATAGAGGGAGGCTGACGCCACAGCCCAGAGGACGAGCAAATACACCTCCCCTGACCCACAAAGACAGAGCTGAACAGCTCTCCAATTGTCCTGATGGGCTAATACGCCAATCAACCCCGAGGATAACAAACAGCAGGCAGCAACACCAGACATATGTCAAGGAATGGGGGGACCTACAGGCAATATGCCAACATGGCAGATGAACAAAAGGACGGACACGTGCTGCTCAATTTGCCACCACATAGCATATAGTGAGGATGACAGAACTAGGCCTTCAAGGAGCGACCTAATATTGTCTGTGGCAGGCCACGTGGCAACAAAGGAACCCCAAGATGAGGACGCCATGCAACAAAAAGGGCGCTTATGTAGAGCCTTCCCCAATGACTGGATGGAATGACGATGATGATGATGATGATGATGACGATGATGATGGAGATCTGGCAACAGGCCTTGATTTTTCTGCAAGGTCATGAAAAAACAGCAGATTTCATTACACGCGCTTCGTCCCATTGCGTGTGCCTCATCCAATCCAAGAACACATAAGAACCACCACCGTTCATTCCCCTCTTTTCCGATTTTTGATCAGCCATGTTTGTCACACTGAATTCAGAGAATGCTTCAGCCAACAAGGTAAGCAGCTGGAACGATGATAGACCTCGCCCCCCCCAACCAAAAAACAGCAGCCGGAACGGTGATCAATTGACAGACAGATTAACGGTTGTATTGCTCACATGAACCAACCGGATGAAGATGACGATGAGCCGCAGAATGGCAGCAGCATTAGAAACGACAAACTCCGATCGGAAATGCTTCCCCCACGATGTCGCTGTCGCCACACACCAGCACCAGCAGCAAGCGTAAGTGTCAATCGCGAAGGTTAGGTTGGACCACAATGCTGACGAGTTCTACTCCAATTGACACCAGCAGGAGGGTTGACACGACTGTACATAAAGGAAACGTGGAAGATGCAGTATCAGACAAAGTAATGATGGAGATGGCCAATCACCAAGATGTACCTTGGGGTAGCTGGCTGCTGCCTCTGCTGCCGATGAAGGAACGGAGTAAATGCATCACAATGACAGGAGAGCCAGCATAAATAACGTAACGCAATGCCCAGGCGAGCACATGGCAGCAGCAGCAGGGAGATGGCACGCCGGATAGGATTGGGGGGCCACTCCCCAAGTAACTACGATCTAATTTACACCGAAGATGTACAGCAGATTGAACTCAGAAGGGGGTTGAGGCCTTGGCACTAACATAGAATTACTCGATAGGCAAAAAAGGCGGTCACTACATGCAGCCTTCCATTTGCAGAATACAAGGGGGCGCAGCACGGCAAAACAGGTCATCACCTTACAGCAGCCCAGGCTGGAAACGAAGGAGGCGATGATGCGCTCGATCGGGTCTTGAAACGAAGGCACTTCGCAGTGCAACATGCTGCTTGAGGAGCAATCCCAGGCGTTGGAGAGTGCTGTCACCACGGCAGAGAGGAGAGCGTGAACCCCGCTAATCCGCCGTCGTCACGTCAGATGGCAAAACACCAAATTGGCTCATGGGAGAACAGCAGGCAGTGTTTCGCCCCTGGCTCCAGAAGAGAAGGAGGAGGGGGGGGGGGGGGGGGGTGAAATGGACCGAGGCACAAGAAAAGCCGGGACAAAATCGGGCTGATAACAACAGGCAAAGGAAACTGCTGCTGGGCCTGAACATCGTTCCATCGTAAGACTCCACCAGACAGGCTTTCCATTGCCCCAAAGCCCAAAGACTCATCAGATCCGTCCTACATCAATAACGATCATTAGCCGTCGATCAAAACAGAGTGTCAGATCTCGAAGCGAAGTGTTCGAGTAGAGTACGGCCTTAAACCACTGCAGTACTTCCTAGAGTCGTGCCCGTTAACGCGCCACGATTTAAGGAAACGTACGGGCTACTACAGGAGCGCCCAGATTCATCCGACTAGAAACGTTTCTACTCTATTTTTTTCCGCGACTAGAAACGTTTAAGCCTCTCAACAATCGAGAGAAGCCAAATCAATCATCGACAAAGTGTCACAACAACCGAAGAGCAATCATTTTAATCATCAACAAAGAAGTGTCGCTGCGGCGAACCCCAATCGCCAATCCTCAGCCGATCGGAGGTGGTCTGTAAGCCAGACACCACGGACACGGACATAGGGCCCAATCCAAGGGCCAGATCCCACTGGCAAAGAGGATTGGAATGAGTGTCTGAATCTGGACGTGTTTGTGGCGAGGTGCAGAAAACTGTGATTGATCTGCTTTTCTGCATCTCTGCGTGGAACACGTCCAGATTCAGAGACTTATTCTAGTCTTCCTTGCCAGTGGGATCTGGCCCTAATAAGCAAGCATGATCAGAGATTTGCAAAACAAAAGACTTTTGTAGAAGACTGATACGTAGGATCGATCCTGCGACTTCTGTGCAAAACAAAAGACTTTTGTAGATCCAATCACCCACCCATCATACCCAGTGGTTATGTCAAGACCACGGTCCAGCCAAGTGCCAACCCATCCAATTAAGAACCCATGAGACTCCTGATCTTCGTAAGCGCTCTGGCAAAGAGAAGAAAGAGAAGAAAGACGAGAACAGTTTTCTTCAGCCGGCATCCCAGAGCGCTCTGGCAAAGAGAAGAAAGAGAAAAATAGAAGAGAACAGTTTTCTTCCGCCGGCATGCCAGAAAAAAGACCATTGCAAACCTGCCTCAGCGCTAATCTTCCCTTCCGGTCTTTGCTATATCAAAATGCAGCAGGGAGAACGCGGTTACTAAATGTGTGCTGAAGTTATCTAGCAAACACAAAGAAGTGGAGAATCCCGCGCGCTTTCTAGTGTCGCTTGCTATTGCACAACACCAAGCAATGCTTGCCGTAGCTGCAGCGAAAAACAGGTCAACAAAAAAACGAAAAGGAAAAAAACAAAAAGAGAGAAGTCACCGCTCCCGCTTCCAGTGGCAGCAGGCAATCAGAGTGAGACACACGGCAGTTTTGACGTGGCCTCCAAGCAAAGCAGACCATCTTTCCTCGCCATGCATTTGCCGCAGGAAATGCACCTGGTCAGACATGGATTCCGTCAGTGAGACAAGCCACCTGTCATCAGCAACTCACAGCAACAGTCGCTGCTGAGGCACAGAGATGCCAACAGAGATTTTCATTTTCCCTAGACTCTCTCTCTCTCTCTCTCTCTCTCTCTCTCTCTGTGTGTGTGTTTGTCTGTCTGTCTGTCTGTCTGTCTGTCTGTCCGTCTGTCTGTCT